GCTGAAGGTGGTCCTTCGGTCAAAAGATATGGTAGCACGGGTGTTATAAAGCTGATACATATTCCGTTGCAAGCTACCATCTGAAGTTCGGCTGAAGACAATCAGCGATATGCCTCCTAGAGATGATACGTCACTCAAAGTACCAAACGCGATGGGATCTATGAGAGAACAATGCACCAGTAGTTTGCCGAATGAGCCCATACAACCTGTGGATGACATTGACCAGACACCTTACACTGTACGTCGCAGATCAGATACGGGACTAACTACACGGGCGATGAATAAAATGTTAAACCCTTCACCAAGCACACATCGGAAAAACGATTAGTCGCCGGCCAATTACTGGTCGGCGAAACTTCACATATGGTTTGCAGAACCTGCGAAACATTGCTTAAATCAGAGAAACTTTCATGTATGTACACCAACGCCCGAGGGCTCCTCAGTAACATTACCGAACTTCGACTACGTCAGGGTGCGAATGCTTGAGACCTAATTTCTATTACCGAAACTTGGTTACACCAAGAGGTGACTGATGCTGAGGTTCAGATAGCCGGAATGTCACTCATCCGGAACGACCGCCCCAGCAGAGGAGGCCGCAGCGATCTACAATGTACAACCGTTGATGATCTGGAAACACACGTTACAGACTCACTCTGGTGCCGTCTCCGACTGAGACACAACGACAAGTGTCTAGTAGCTGTCGTTTATCGCCCCCCAACCTCCACTCTGGAAATGGGTTGCTGCTTGATCCGTGGCCTAAACAGAGTAACACACACTAGGTACAGCCACATTCTCATCTCCGGGGACTTCAATCTACACAATCTGGAGGTTTCGGCATCGCCCAGTGAGCAGTTCAAAGCAGACTTGCATGAACTGATCGCTAATATTCCTTTGTACAATCATGTCACCACGCCCACTAGATTCAGGACAGCAAACAAACCGTCCATACTGGACCATGTGCTCACGAATGAAGAGCTCATGATTGTCAAGTTATTGATGGATAGTCCATTAGGTCTCAGTGACCATGTAGTAATAACTTTTGACTATGTGTGTTATGCAGAGTATCCATCTGAACACTCGGAACTAACTCATACAATCACACGCTGCCACGTATTGAAAGAACTCGCCGACGCAGCTGCTTGGAAATTCTCAAACAAAGTCCCCTTGACAACGTTTGGACAGAGTTCGTTAATAAATTCAGCGACATCGTCAACAAAGCATCAGAGACCAAACCCCTTCGTCCCGCGAAAATGCCTTCAATTATAAGGAGTAGGACTCGAAAATGCCTGGCGATAAGGGATGCAGCATGGCATGCCTACAAGATTAACCCCGACTCAGAGACTTGGGGAAATTTCCTGACCCATCGCAACCATTGCACTGCACTTGTCCGTGAGGACAAAGTAACTTATCAACAGAGCCTAGCCAAAAAATTCATGGCAAACAACAAACTGCTATATAGGCATGTCAATAAGCTTCGTAAAGTGAAGCATGGAATCCCCCCACTTTTCACGACAGGCGGTAGAGTACAAAGCGCCGAAGAAGCAGCTAATGCCCTGCGGCTGCAATACGCCCCAATCTTCGAACTCGCAACCTCTACCTGTCCCATAATATCAAGCACATTACCGACACCTTTGTTTACAAATGTTATTTTCAACCCATCAATTGTGCTAAGGAAGTTACTCTCGCTGCGTGAGCATAGTTCTCCAGGAGCAGACAACATCCGCCCGAAGGCACTGAAGGCTACGGCCACCAAGCTAGCTGAACCACTGTCACAGTTCTTCCAAAGGTGCTTTGATGAACAACAAGTCCCCACTATGTGGAAGTGTGGCATTATAACCCCTATTTTTAAAGGCGGTAGCCGTTCCGATCCTGCAAACTATCGTCCAGTGACTCTCCTCCCTGTGCTCGCGAAGGTGATGGAAGCAGTCGTCGCTGAGGCTTTAATGGACTACCTAGAAAAATGCAACATTTTGGTACCGGAACAGCATGGCTTCCGTCAACACCGGTCATGCACCACCAACCTACTTATTGCACGAGGTAGTTGGACGGAAGTGGCCGATGATGGGGTCGGAGTCGATGTCATCTATCTGGACTTCTCCAAAGCTTTCGACCGCCTTGATCACCGCATCCTACTTCAAAGACTACAGAGTTACGGAATCGGTGATCCTGTACTTGGTTGGATTGGCAACTTCCTTTACCAACGAAAGCTTCAAGTACGTGTTAGGGGATCACTTTCTAACCCAATTGAGGTGGAATGTGGTGTCCCACAAGGCTCAGTGCTGGGACCGCGTTTATTCCTGGTGTTTATCAACGACCTGGCAAGGGTCATCTCCTCAAATTTCCTGCTTTTCGCCGATGATGTCAAGATATGGCGGGCGATTGGTAACAAGCCAGATCAGGATCTGCTCCAACGTGACTTAGATCGCATTTACGAATGGTCAAAGAGGAACAAGCTTCAATTGAACATGGCTAAGTGCAAAGTGATGCATCTGCGTCACCAGCCGGTGAGCGCTTACAAGATTGGAGACCACACCTTGGCGAAGGTCTCTCAGGAGCGTGACCTGGGTGTATTGGTGCAGGAAGATCTCGGGTGTTCAAAACAAGCAGAGAAGGCGACGAGAACCGGAAATCAACACTTCGGCCTTCTTCGCAGAGCCTTCGGTCGGTTTGAACCATCAATATTTCCCCAAATGCTTAACGCCTACGTGCGACCTCACGTGGAATATGCTATTCAGGTGTGGCAGCCGTGGCAGAAACAGGATCTCATTGCTCTCGAGACTCCTCAACGAAGGGCAACCAAGAATGTCAGGGGCCTCTTTCATCTGCCCTATCAGCTTAGACTGAAATCTCTAAGAATGTACAGCAGTCGATATCGGCTTTTGCGGGGGGATCTCATAATGGTTTACCAGATTCTGAAGAACCCAAACCACATTTGCCGTCCGCTGCTGGAATTGAACCACAACACTAAACTAAGAGGTCACCCTCTGAAACTGACAATTCAGTATAGCCGGCTTGAATGCCGTAGAAATTTCTTTTCTCTCCGCGTGTGTGAGCCTTGGAACGCCCTCCCTAATTATGTCGTCTCTGCTCCCAATCTGGCGATATTTAAAAAACGTGTTGACGATGCATTGTCTCACTTACATTTCATTTTATGACTTGTTAGCCAGGGGCTACAAAACGCAATCAAACGGTGTCTTGCCAAACGCCTAACCAATGGATTTATGGATTTATATGTTTAATACGCGAACATCTCTGCTATTCCACATAAGTCCATGGTGAGTCCACCACAACGCTTTTCACTTTATCATGCAATTGATTTTCACAATAATTTCCATCCTACGGGACTTGTTAAGCAACGCTTTTTTACCCGTAATAAACCATTGTTCCATTGTTCCATAATACTCTAGGTAACCTACCAATCACAATCACTTTTTGAGCGGTCAATGGATGATCTAGTGGATGTTGAACTTTCTAGTAATAATTATGATGATGACGCATGAAACCTTTCGGATCTAGTGTTTCCGTTGAAACTGCATTGCGTGTTACACATTTGAATTATGAGGGCGTAAAACAATGTTAGGTGGTGCACATTTTTGAACGGTACAAAACGCTCTACCCCGTACACTTCACTGCGCCTGGGTACAAAACCCACTTACAAAGTGCACAAAGGTTCAGTAAACAGATGAGAACCGTAGAGAGGCCGGTGGGACTTCTATAACGTGAAGGTAGCGGACAAACACGATTGAAAAGAAATTAGTCAGCCACCCCAAACCGTATATACGTGGAACCAAGCTCAAGGTTTGAGTGTTTGTTATTTTTTCTTACATGATATACCGAAGCTCTACGACACACGTAAGCTTTATAACAATACATCTTGGCAGTTCCTTAAAATAACATTTTGTATCATGTCTGTTATCGCAATTACCGCTCTTGTTACCTAAATAATCCAACCTCAATCGTATACTGATGCGCCTGGCCTAAAGAATTTTGCGTTGTGGTAAAACATTGCTCAATAAAAACACCAACTGTCTGTTAGCGAACGTTGCCGATCAGTTTCAAATATGTTTCAAACTACATAGTTCATTTTTCGCTTGTCGCTAATATTTTGCCCTTCAAGATCAAATGAGTTTACTACAACCGTTCAGCGTGACTGCGTCAATGACTCGCTTTTAACATAAAGCAGTAACAGCTGTAGTCGGTGGAAATACGTAGAGTCAGGCAATCTTTAATTTCATTCTTTCCTGACGACATGTCATTCGCTTGCCTAAAACTTCTCAGTCAGCAGACATTGTAAGAGAAGAGCGAAATTCTGCTGCATATAACCTCGGAAGTAATATGGTGCTAGGCTAGGTATTCCAAATTTTCGTCTCCACTCATAATTAAAGATGCCTCATTAATTTTCTAACACAGTCTACCCCAGTTGAATTATATTTCTATCGTTTATACTATTCCATTCTCGAAGTTCACCCACTCACACCGTATCAGTCTCTCTGCGGCGAGGTGAAGCAAAATTTCGGGAGTGTTTTCAAATTCACGCAGACTTCCTCACTATATTATAAGTAAACACATTGGTACCCAATTACAATTTTTCTAACATGTTGTTGAATAGATTAATATATTTAGACACAAATCATCAACCTATTTTATTTGGCTATCTGACCAAACCGCATGCTATGACCAAATATCTTCAGCCGTTGTTTTTCATTCATAGTTGCTAGCGGAATTTTCGATTTTTCTTCTGATGTGAATACAAATATAGGTGTAATTTACATTCCAATTTTCACATTTATATATAGCATTTGGAAACACTTGAAATCTCTTAATATTCCTAACTAATTATGTGGCCACTAATGTAAGCCACGCTAACATACTCTTTTTACCATGTATACATGCATAAAGTCGGCAAAATTATAGTTTGCTCCCTAGTTATTTTAGTAATTTCAGACTGACACCACACAAAGAAGCAAATTGAAATTACAGATTTCGGTGAACCTACTTACCAGACATTTCGAGTGTAGTGCTTTCAGTGGGGACATAGCTTACGTTCCCCTTGTACTCCGCTTCATCTAAATTAACGATATGAAATTGAAGGTGAGATTCGAAAATGGTTCAGACGTAGCACAGCTGCAAGAAACAAAGACATACTAGGATTACTATGGTTACGTGGATGCATTCGAGTGTACCACATGCTCATCATACAAGCCAATTATATGTGCAAGCAGTCTACATGGTAAGATTGTCGCAATTCCTTTCATCTACCATTGTCGCATGAAGCTGACTGGTGCATTGTCTCAGTGAGTTAAAATCAAACAACTTTCTTGGTTTACTCTAATTCAGCTTCTGGTTTACCTGTGAACTCAACGAGTTCAGGTTAAATAATGCTTTTGATAGAACTCGGGAAGAACTTGGTATGGAAAATGGCAGAAGTGCTGGAATAATTACGCAATAAATTTTTAGACTAGGCTGAGCATTATCCATTTAATTACAAGTAGAAATGATCTGGCTGACATCGCGACATATAAGTGGTGATATACTTATATGAATCGAGGAGCTCAGAAGTTCAAGTGAAGCGATCGCAACATATCCCAAGTGGTCATTCGTGGTTTATCGTCGGTTTTATTTGTCACGACTAATGTCGGCACCGGGAGACGGAGATTTAATAAAAACTCTTAATTACTGTTTCGATGATGGTGTAAATTCTATTTGAATGAGAATCCGAAGGAGTAGAAAGAAGATTTTAAAGAACTGGCCAGATGTTTCCGAATCTAGTGTACATCATGCATCCATAGAATTGCAGAAATACATGAATGGCCTCCGTTTTCTCGAGATATGCAAGCAAAACACATTTTTCTACTCTGGCCAGTATCCTAAGCTTTTGTTGGCGTGAATAGAACCATTGCCGTGGATTAATCGATACTTTAAGTGAGTTCCCACTATTAGCTAATAAGTTGTTCAGCATTCGCCTGGATGCTGCTATACGTCTGACAACATGCAGCTCACATGTTTTTCACTTGATTTGCAAGAATAAATCCGGATGGACCGAAAACCCTGTTTGACCTTGGTGTGCACATGTGATTCCGTACGATTGTGAGTAAAAAGTACTATTACCCACGCACACATGTTTAGCAGAAAAGGCGCATTACGCGACCGCGCAGTACATAACCTACCATACATTAAGTTTATTATGAATACTTAGAAAAGATTCACACTCACAGAATTATGGAGGCCAACTGGGAACTCTGGCTGGCAGTACTCTGAGTACCCATTGTGCATTATCGATGATCCATTTTATTAATCATTAGGCTGCATGTTGTTTAGACAATCACATTTTCTCTGAGCCCACAAATTACTACCTGAATACTGAATACTGAATACCGTATTATAGAGCAAGTATAAATGAATTCTGTATAACTCTTTCGAAATATGGTGAAAAACATTATTAAAGTTTTCAACCGTGAACATCGCTGTCGTTCTCCTGTAACATTTAAAATATCTGACTCACGGTATTTCAGGACTCACAAATGTGTTATGTCATCGTAAGTGTGCAATCGTTCTCTGAATCGAATAGTGGTAAAACATAAATCTAACAACGTTTTGAACTGCTGCACAGATGTTGCCTCAATCACACATTCAGGTAAACTGTTTCAAATGTTTACCACTCTCCGTTAGAAGCACAGTGGGTGGGGAACACATTTCACATCCGGCACGACAAGTTTGTATCTGTGTCCGCGTGTGCTGCATGGACCTCGTAAGTGCAGTATTGGCCTTAGCATTGGGAAGTCACCGAGATGTAGAATTCGGTAGGTCATAATGAGGTAGACTCGCACCCCGACGGTAGGACAAGTTGTAAAGTCCTAATTTCTCGCACCGATCTTCATACCGCAAGCCGTGTAAACTCAGGATGAGCCTGGTAGCAACGTGTTGGACCCGTTCGATGTTTTGTGCCTCGGCTCGGGTAATCGGAAAGTAGGCAGGCGAACCGTACACTAGCATTGGTCTAATGATAGAAGAGAAGAGGCGAGTGGCAATCTTTTCAGACCATGTGCCGAATCTACGTTTGAGCGCCCAAAGCATGCGCAGTCCGTTACGGTATAGCCAGTTCTTGTTGTCCACGGACTTCAAATCGTAGAGTGGGAGTACACCTAGGTCCTTCACGGAGGGTGTGGGATATAGCGTTTGGCCGTCAAGTGTGTAAGTTCGGCCGTTAGCACCCTTCCCCAGGCTCATAAATACGGACTTGGCTGGGTTGACCGTGAGAAGAACTTCTGCAGACCATGTGGATAGGCGGTTGTGGTCTTGCTGAAGTAGGCCACAGTCATCGGGAGCGTCGATTTCTCTCCAAATCTTCATGTCGTCCGCAAACAAAGCACAAGGTGACCGGAGAAGCTGCGGTAGATCGTTGATGTGGATCAGGAACAGAGTGGGCCCCAGCACAGTGCCTTGAGGCACGCCAATTGTAGAGGGGTCCAGTCAATTAGATGCTCGTCCACTTGTACCATCAACTTCGTCCAACAAGAAAGTCGCGGATCCACCGGTGCAGTGATCCACCGACACCACACATTCTGAGTTTGTGAAGGAGAACCTCATGGCTGACCTTGTCGAACGCCTTACTGAAATCGATGAATATAACGTCGACGGACTTCTACTTGCATATTGCCTTCAACCACTCATGCCTCGTCACAAGCAGGTTCGTAATGCATGAGCGGTCTTACATAAAACCGTGTGTGCGGGCGTCAGGACCTCATTTGACTGCAGAAACCGAAGCAATCCCTTCTTCGCGATTTTCTCAGCAACTTTTGCCAAAATAGGTGTCAGACAAATTGGCCTGTAGTTGTCTACTTTGCTAGGGTTGCAGCCTTTCCGAATAGGTTTCACCACCAAACATTTCCAATCAAGCGGCAACGAACCTTCGGACAGCGACCTGTTGAAAAGACAGTCACGACAGGAGAGAGGGTGGCAAAAGTGGCTAGAGAACCAGTGGGTGAAGCTCATCAGGTCCGGCAGGTTTGGTGCCATCAAGGTTGGCGAGTATTTGACCTACCTCTTCAACGCTGAAATCCAGACTGCCGATTTCGGTAAGAGCGGTACACGTCGAACTCAGAACAGACACCTGGTTATTCGCAAATACAGAAGAGAAGTGAGCAGCCAAAGAGGACCCACGTTCAGTGCTGGAGGTTAGGGGCTGTCCATCCGGGCCATCCAGCGCTGGCACATCACCTGCCGGCTTCAGGTGTCGCTTCATGCAAGCGAAGATCCTGTTAAGGGTGGTCCTCGCGGCTATTGAGAGCTGCTATACAAAATGTCAGCGCTTATTCATTTGTGCACATTTGCAGAGGTTCTGCTGACATTTATACCCGTCGTAATCATTTCAAACACACTTCAAACAAATTTCTGACGCTCTGGCCACCGCAGAGGATAATCAACGGTGCCCTCTCCGCTGCATCGGGCAGGGTGGATAGGGGTTTGGATTCTGCTGCCCAAGCCTTCCCGTCTTCTTATTCTCTCTCTAGCGCTTTTTCACCTTTATCGTCCCGTTCCAGCTTCACTTTTATCCCCCTCGTTTTTAATCTCCCTTAATTCTCGGCCCTCCCCCACCTTGCTTCAATAGTCGCTTGCCTTATATTTTCAACTCACATGTGAACGCGGAGCGTCATTCCTGCCCTGTCAACAGGCCCATGTCCAAACAAGCGGCCCATTCCACTTCATCGGCTTCCATTTGGAGCCCTCGATCCTCCTTCAGATTGGCATGCCTCAGTGTTCGCACATTGCTTCCGATCGGTCAACAGGCAACACTTGCTCGAACATTAGAGAACCTATCGATTGATATCTACTACTTATCGGAGACCCGCCTGCAATACTCGAGCTCTGTGATCACTCTACGATCCCCTTCAGGTGACACTAGCAGCACTTTCTCATTGCGCCTATCCGTTGACGATGCAGCTTCGAGCACCGGCCAAGCCGGTGTTGGCATTGTCCTGAGTCCCCGGGCTGACGCACCTCTGGTTGATTGGATTCCAACCAGTTGCCGGATGTGTGCGGTCCGATTGGCTGGCTCGTTCAAAGCTTCGAAGTCACGTGGGACTAACAGGTGTCTATTCGTCATCGCTGCCTATGCACTGACAAACTGTAGCGATGACCCGGTAAAAGACGACTTCTATCGTCAACTGAACGAGCTCCTTCGCCACAGAAGAAGCACGGACACTGTAGTGCTGGCTGGGGATCTGAACGCCCAAGTTGGAAAATTATCCACAGATGAGCTGCATCTGGGCGGCCAACATGGTATAGGCTCCCGTAATGATAACGGTGAGCTGTTACTTCATTTGTGTGAACATGCTCGCTTATTTCTTGCGAGCACTAATTTCAGACACAGCACCCGCCGAAGGGTGACTTGGCGCCCACCAGCCTCGAACTAGCTGTGGACGCAAATCGATCACATTGCGATAAGTTACCGATGGAGAGGCTTCGTCCAGAACTGTCGCTCGATTTGGAGCAAAGGTGTGGACACCGACCAGGCACTTGTATGTGCTGACATTCGGATGCGTTTTGGAGGACGCCCACGACGACATTGTGTGCGCCTTGACACCAGCCAACTGGCGAAGCCAGCTGTTCTGAATGCCTATCAAAGTACGCTGTCATGCGAGTTGGATAAACGCTCACCGGATCCAATTGAAGCTCACTGGTCTCATATCCACCAGACCTTACTAGCAGCGGGAAAGTCCTCATGTGGTATGTCTAATCGCCAACACGGACATTGGGTCTATTCTCAGTCTCTGGAACTTCTAGATGCCCGCCGGAATATTCCGACTGGAAATGAACACAATGAAACTCGCAAAGAGTTCCGGGCAAAACTTAGTGCCAGCCTGAAGAGAGACTGCGAATCCTGCTGGTGTCATAATGCATCACCGATGGAAATGGCCGCTGCCCTTGGTAACCATCGTAAGGTATCCCGTCTGGTACGGGAAACGGGCAGCAGGAGACCTGGTGTTAGAGAAACTATACGTGACGAGAGTAAACAGCCTATCCACAATTTGTCAAAACGTCTGGAGCGTTGGGCTGAGCATTTTGAAAAGCAATTTAATCGGCAAGAATTGTTCGATTCGCGGGTCACTGATCGCCCCGCTCCGTGGGCTGTCCCTTTGGATCCACCCTCTCGCTCAGAAATCGTACGTTAGATCGGACTGTTGAAGTTAAATAAAGCCGCGGGACCAGATGATCTTCCTTTAGCCCTCTTCAAATTCGGGGACCTGCTCTTATGGATGATTTACACGAGTTACCAGTCAAACTGTGGGAGCAGGAAACTGTCACAACCGATTGGAGCCGCTCCGTCATAGTCCAAATTTTCAAAGGTGGCTCACCATCGGAATGCGGCGGCCTTAGAGGAATCAGTCTGATCTCCATCGCCTCCAAATTGCTTGCCTCTGTCATCCTTCACAGACTGACTGGCACTCGTGAAAGCCAGATTCGCGAAGAGTTAGCTGGATTTCGTCGAGGTTGTGGCTGCATTGACCACATCTTCACCTTGCGTCAGTTGTTGGAGCACCGTCGCATATATTGGCGGCCCACCGTATTCGTGTTCCTCGATATCAAAGGTGCATTCGATTCGGTGGATAGACATGCACTTTGGGACTGTCTAATCAGAAAAGGTGTACCTGAGAAATATGTGAATATTTTCCGAGCATTATATGCTCGTAGCTCGGGCAGAGTGAGGGCTTACGACAAGTTGTCGTCGCCCTTTAATTTCTCCAGCGGTGTGAGACAAGGATGCCCGCTGTCACCTTTCCTCTTCAACTTCGCTGTTGACGAAGTCATGGAAATCGCGTTCACAGGACACGACTTAGAAGGTGTGGAGCTACTCCCAGGAGAACGACTTATTGACTTAGAGTATGCTGATGATATTGCCCTAATCTGTGACAGCTCACAAACGTGCCAAGCGGCACTGGACAGATTAGCACTAGCTGTCCGTCACTTCTGGCTTTGCTTCGCACCCTCGAAGTGCAACGCGTTTCTCCAAGATTGGTCTGGACCGCCCCCACCGCTGACCCTTGGTGGGGATCAGCTAGAAGTCGTTCAAAAATTCAACTACCTGGGAAGTTGTATCAGCGTTCGTGGGATTGAAGATGAGATCACGAATCGTATAACAAAAGCTCGGGGCGCTTTTGCTAACCTTCGCCACTTATGGCGCCAGCGCGACATCACTCTTGCCCAGAAGGGTAGAGTGTACAATGCAGAGGTACGTTCGACACAACTGTACGGTTGTGAAACCTGACCGCTTAGAGCAGCGGACCTGAAGAGGCTAGTTACGTTCGACCACCGGTGCCTTCGTAATTTAGCTCACATCTGGTGGGAACACCGCGTGAGCAACGAGCGTGTCCGACGCCTTGTTTATGGCACAGGAAAAGGAACTGGACCGCGCAGCACCGTTATTTCACGCAACAGGCTCCGATGGCTTGGCCACGTGTTACGCATGCCAGCCCACCGACTTCCGTGACGTGTGTTGTTTGCACGCCGGGGGTGTGGATGGAAGAAGAGGAGGGGTGGCCAAGCGATGACTTGGTCGAGAGGAATGAAGACCCTCACTTCTGAGCTGGCCTCGGTTGGAGCGTCTCGGCTCCCTGGTTGGGGTCCGAAAGGCGATGAACACGTTTGGTTGGACACACTTGCTGATATGGCTAGGAGCCGACCTCAGTGGCGTTCGTGCTGTGAGTTTCTTTGTCCCACCCCACCACTCTTAGCCTCCCCCTCCAACCACGATCTCATTACTTAGCCTTATATAATTTTGCATAGTAATTTTTTTAAATGCATATTAACCGGCTGGTAGCTTACCGGAACGATGCCCATCCGTTACCGGTAGCTCAGCCGGCTTGCTCCAGTTGAATCCTTTTTTCTCTCCTATTTTCTGTGTATTGCCTCACAGTAGCTGAGGTGTTCCCCACCTCTAGCTGACGTGTATGATGATGATGATGATGAATCATTGGCAGAGCCAGAGAGGAGGAATTTGTCCAACTGTTTGCGCCGCCTCCGAGCCAGGTTTCCATATTCCTTGTCAAACCAATGAGGCTTAATCGGTTCAACCTTCCGACATTTCAAGGGCACGAATTGGGAACACAATGATGTCAATCTTTCTTTTATAAATGTCAAACAATCTTCCACAGATGCAGCTTATGATGGAGACCAACCCAGTTGGCTCGCAGTTCGAGCTAGACCATGGAAGTCCGTTTTCCAGTAGTTGGGAGCTGGTTCCAGCGGACGTGAATGCGGCAAAGACAATTGCATATCAACTATGAGCATTGAATGGTCGCTTGTAGCCAGGGTATCCAGGATCCTAACGTCAAGCACTCGTTGTTCCTAGCTCGTTAACATCAGGTCGAGACAGGACGGGGTTGAACTTGTAGTTATGCGTGTTAGCTGGCATATGTGTTGCGATGCACCAGTTTCAAGTAGCAAATCCACGAACTTTGCTTCAACCTTACTATGTCCAGGCATGAAATGCACATCAGGCCATCGTATTCGAGGACAGTTAAAATTGCCCATAAGTAGAAACTGTGAACGACTCATGTGGGTTTGAGAACGGACAGCCAATCCAAACCACGATTCAGGGGGCTGCGATAAACTGCGCCCACAGGTAGTTCTTCGCGCCTGAGGTGGATGGAGCACCACAGTAGCTCACACAAATCATCGTCACTTCGGTAGGTGCTCACAAGTATCCCACGCAAAGAACACCGGATGTAAAGTAAGACACCACCGTGGGCATTCTTCAGTCTAACGCATCGGAAGCACGAGTAACCGTTGAGTTCAAGTTCTTGTGTGTATAACTCTGCATGCAGTCATGTCTCTGCGAGTCCCACTACGTCTGGCCTTTCAGACGAGACGAAAAAACAAAGCAAGCGTTTGTAAAGGTTAATCGCACGCCGCAGCAGGAGCCGCCGGGCTTGCTTGAAGTGTGATCAGCCTGTTTACCCTGATTCGCGGATTGTTGGAAACCCCCCAAAAATTTACGATACGATGATTTGTTTCCCACTCACCAGTGAGTGTTTCCAGCTCAATGATGGCAAACTTGAGCCGCTCCCTGTCTACTGGGTCCAGGTCTGGACGAACATGAATCTTAAAACCCTTCAGCCGACTTAGACTGGACAAGATCAGTCTTGGATAAGCTTCGTCCACAAAAATGATTCTCATAGGCCGAGTTCGTTGATCGCCATGCTTTACAAAAAGGGGAATCTGCCTCACTTTTACTGAGTTCTCACCAGCGTCGAGGATTCTGTCAATTAGACCCTGTAAAAACTCGACATCGGGATCGTAGCGCTCTTGGTGTGATGGATCACTGGACTCCGGTGCGTGAAAGGTCATGAGATTATAACGCCTATGGTCGGACGAGGTTGACCTTGCAGGGCGAAGTATACTACTAGCCTCACGTGGTTTGTTTAACTGTTGACTAACAGAACTTAAACACCCAAAGTCTCTTCGTAATTTCCTTCTTTGTTCTTTTCACTGGCCTTCAGCACTCAGACTTTCACCTGCTGGGACATCAGGGTCCGTTGGACACAACAAAGGTAAACAGTTTTTGCAAGGTGAAACTGGGCTTCGTACAAGGGTTGGACTTCGTTCCGGTTAGTTTGCACGAGTAGAGGTTGAAGACTGACCTGAAACCTGAAGGCTCTTTGGGCTAGGTTGTTGGGCCAAACATACGGAGCTGTTCTCAACGAAACGTTGCTCCCCATCCAAAACTAGTGTTTATTTCGTTAGATACTACATTACTGAACTGGTCGTTCGCTATCCAAAGCCTTTTCCTGCGACTACCAGTGAGCAACATCCGATGGCAAACTGTACACTTAATGTTAGTAGTATTCGTTGATAAATGAAGTCAGGGGCGGCATAACACCATCACAAGCAAAAACTGCAAGCTTATCTGAGAACCGAATCCTGATACTTAAGAACACTGTATCCCAGAATGACAGCGTAGTTATGTATTTCCAGTGTTTGGCTGTTTAGGTTACTAATTCCGTATTTCCCATATTTGAAGTTATCTATAAGTACCCAGTTTAAGCCAGTCCTCGCCGATAACAAAGGAACGCGTCAAAGAAGATTCACAAGAATGTTTATTCCTATACGGTGCACCAGCTCGTAAAAATGTCTGTTGAACTGAAGTGAACTGCGGTAATGCAATGTGCAACCTATGCGGCACTGCCAGTTGCATAAATTTCGGTCAAAATAAGAAGTGCCAAGATTGTGTGAAGTCAATCAAATCTAACAACGATTCAAGCATAATGACTGATACTGCCCTTGCTTTAATTTAGTTTGGTGTGTTACTCAGGTTCACTAGTATTTATACACACTACTATTGAAACAAGTTCCGTTGTTAATCCAACAGTTTTGGAATATCTAAATCTTTCTATATGAAGGTGAGCAAGTGTCAGTATTTACAATGCCTAATTTAACTCCCTACCAAATAAAATGTCTTAAGCGGAATAGAAAAATCCCCCACCTCATTGTCAGGATCAATAATCTTAAATTAGCAAAAGTAAAGGGACAAGAGTAATCAAACAGCAAGTATGGTAACGCTGTATCAACTAAACACACGGCGGCTACTCCAAGATATAATAAGGAACATCTAACCGCTGTGTCAAGAACTGCTTTAAAACTCCGGTTTACTGACCAAGACGAAAACTGTCAATCACTGTGTTGAAATCCCATCTCCGCACAAGCTATCTCTACCTGACGAGTCCAACTTAGGATGAAATCTCTCGATCATGGAGTGCGGTGTTGACATAGCGCAGTTACGAAAATCGTCACTTATATCAAGCTAATTGGAAGCAATGAGAACTCACCCTGTTCACGGCTAAACTGAAGTAGATGGATCAAATAGACTAAAGTTAATAGGCCGGACTTCATCGCTGTTGTGATAGTGGTACTTTTTACCAAATGAACGTAATATCCAAGACCCTCTACTTTAGTAATTTTCTTAACCACTAGGATGAGTTTTGTTTGTGTATGTATGCAGCAGCACAAGAATGTGGAGCGACACAAGCCGAGCAAACGACGTACTATTTGGTTTTCGAGATCGAGTGAATTTGACCAATTTTAGTTTTTTAGCGTACACTACCTGGAATGCGAGAGCCTTGGAATGCGATGAAACATTGTTTACAACGTGCTTGCCTCACATAATGGTGTGTTTTAAGAACCAACACATCCCCAAAGCGAAATTCGCGGTGGGCGTTTCAGTAGACTGTTGTCAGATTTAAAGGTAGTGGTTACTAAGGATAGAAGCTTACGAAAATACTTCTTTTGGAGTTTGGTGGAAAGAAGCGCGGTGTTGTTTCAAAAGGCTGTGGTACTAAATATAGTGTATTGATAAAGGGAATACGAGTATGAATCCGCTTATCCATAAGATAACGATTTTAGTTTTTGTTCGAAGACTGCATTTGGACAGAAAAATTATCTAAACGTATAAAGAATTAGGTCAGGCTGTCATCATAGTCCCGTCCTGCTGGCAGGTTATTTACGAGGGGACCGTTATGCATAACTGATTTTTAAGCAAACCATAACATAACATAACATAAAAACATAAATCTCGCTAATTCTCTTACCTGGTCATTTACACTTGTGAACATCGTTGAGAAGTCTATAGATTAGAATTAAACTTCAAAGAATCACAGGCAATGCTGATTTTCAACACAGCAAATATTCTCATCGTAATCAGATGAATCAAGACCAGAAATCATTTCAGGGTTAAGAATTCTTTTCGGTAAACTCCCTTCAGACCCAAAAGTTTACATTACACGTATCGTGTGGGGCAAGCGTCAAATCGGGCTGGGATTGATTTTGAAGGTGTTTGAAAGATCCAGATGGATGACTGTTCTACTCTAATCAACTGCAACAATACTCGCTGGAAGCTTGTTTGTATTTCACACTCGCGTCAATATTTAACTTGTTTACTTGTTAGTTTTCTTTACTCGCAAGATTGAATTCAGACCTATCGAACCTCGTTGAAATTGCCATTTAATTGGGTGTGTTATTTGATATGAATGAACCGTTGTGTGTCTTTACGGAGAAACGAACAACAAACCACTCCCTTTGCTATACATGGCTTGCAGACGAGTCTATTGTTATCGGTATCCGATTCCGTAATTGCCTGTCACTGCGGCCTCCATAGGCCAGTCGCAGAACGTCTGCGCCTTTAGAGGGACCTTGAGTGGCTTGTGATGCACTACACATAGTTACATCCATACATTCCATATCTGGTGGAAACTGGATGGAATAAGACCGGGATGCACTCCTTCAGCATACACAGCGGAAGTATTCATGTCTAAATGAGAACTCATGTGTACAGGAAGTACACAAGGCGGTGGCTGTGTCGTGGCTCGTTTCACACTGAATAAATGAACCCCCTTACAGCTTTGCACATTCATGAGGACAGTGTACCTGTTCCCTTCAGTAATGAACAATTGTCTCCTGGAGCCAGTATAAATAGGTGATGGGTAATAGACAGACGCATTGTGCACATTCATCTCAAGCGCTGACACCCTAGGGAGATGTTAAAATCCAACCCATGAAGTGCAAGAAACACAACATGCAGACACACGTACAAACTAACTCTAACGATGAAATGGCATATGAGCCACATCAACCGTCTGATTGGCCTAAGTTAGCAACTTGTATGGATGTACACGCCGCGTACGTACTAGTCGCTGCCCTGATTATGCATATATTATCAGATGCCTCCTCGGTTTATATAGGCTGGATGCAAGCCTGGTGGCTCACCAGACTCGCTTTGATCGAACACGCACTACCGCACGTTGTACAACACCATGCCATTGACGTCAAAGGGGTAGATTCCATCGGCTCCTGTCGCTTCTGTGCTCGGCGTTTCTCCTCTGCATGTAACAGTGCTTCCTGCCGCACCTGCGCAAAGCCCCTTGATCACCTCAAGCCATTTGCGATGATCAACCGCCTTGGATTTCAATCCCATCTCAATTAGGCTAGACCTTAACATAGTGTGATGGTTTGTGTGCCACAGTGAACCAATGAGCTACGCTAACTGGTGCTTTTTTGCATCTTCAAAGCCACTCGTAACAGATTGGTCAAAGGTTAGAGTTCAGCCAAACTCAGTCTCCTTGTCCTCCAGGTCGTGCGTTGGATTGAAGGCGGCTCCTTATTACCGAAAATGGACTCCTTATAGTCCAAAGTTAAACCCGGTGCCTTGCGGTCAGGTGCTTGGATCAAAGACTGGTTGAGAACAACATACTTTCTTCCCCTCTAGGCCCAAGCAACCTGAGAGTATCCTGCCCACCCATAATATGAAACTTCCCTCAAGCACTTTCTTGATAGCCTTGCCGCCGCAGCGGGTACTAAACGGTACCCTAACTACTGCATCGAGCGGGGTGGTTAGGGATTGTATGCTGTTGCTAAAGACTTCCGTCTTCTTATTCCTCACCTTACTCAATCTCAAACTTATCGTTCGGTTGAAACTTCGCTTTTATCCCCCTGTCTTCTACCCTCAAATCCTGGCCCTTCCTACCATGCTTTGATAGGCGATTAGCTTCTAGTTTTAACATTTAAAATCGGAACGACACTACAGTCTAATGGACAAGTCCATTATTAACAAAGTGGTCAATCCCAGTTCATCGGCTTCTATTAGGAGCACTCGATCCTCCCTCACATTCGCGTGCCCCAACGTACACATATTGTCACAGCTCGGTTAACAGGTATTATTTTCTCTACGTTAAAGACCCTAACGACCGAGATCTGCTGCTTATCGGAAATCTGCCTACAACACTGGAGCGCTGTGCTTAATCTGCAATCTTCTGCAGCTGAAATTAACAACCATTTTATTGCACTAATCCGGGGAAATTGTATTCTGACTACCGGCCAAGACAGTGTTGGTATTTTGCTGAGTCCCAGAGTTGAAGGAATCTAGTTGATTGGATCCCAATCTGAGGAGTAAGCCTCTTTTAGCATGGGTACGTACCACTAAATAAATTATTAGGATGCAGTTCTAACTAAGGAATATCTTAGCAAAGCCAGGAAGGATACCGCTGATGGGTTACATCAGATTCATATGCCGCTATCGTAAGCACGTGTCACAGCTTCGTTTGGTATGAATTTATGCAGCTATTGGAACCCTGGTAATTTGCTTTATCAAGAGGTTGAAGAACGCTGATGCGCACACCACAAATATTAGTTTATTATCCGCTTCTATAGGAAACATACTCCGTCTTGATCTAGAGACTAGTTACAACTAATCTGCCAAGTTAAAGAATTTTGATAGGTGTAGATCCATCAACCGCAGCTGCATATATATAAAGGTATTTTACTACAGTGAAGACCAATTGTATACAAGTGTGGCGTATTTCATGTCTCATAACCAACTCTGCCTACAGGACCTTTTCTTGGTGACATCCAATGTGGAGTTAGAAAACCAGCAGATGTGGATGTGTTCCTGTCATATCTAATACCAAATCTTAAGGATTTAGGATCACAGAGCAACCAAGGTGTGTATTAAAATATAAGTAGAAGTTCATCACATCTCGACTCCATTAGCCAGCCAGCATGTGTCTAAATAGCGTGATACGGCGGTTTTCTTCTTACGAGAATCAGAACAATGATAAAACTCTGGTAATAAATGCTATGGCTTGGCAATTCCTTTTTGCATCGCACTAGGTCGGGTGGTCCTAACGTCAGACTCATATCACTGATAATTTCACTCTGTAAGCAACGGTAACTTCTCCTTCAAGTCACCAAGACACAAAACTTTGCCTGTCTGCAAAACATTGACAACTATCGTCCAATCAGCTAAATGCTTATCGTGTCATGATTGATAGACAAAAACAGGTGTTTGAATTGCTAGTGCCAAGCATCACAATTAAAATTTCCTAAAATGGCATTTTTCAAACTAAATTTTGTCAGACCTTGTTAATTTGAATTATTTAAGCTCTTACTTCAAGAACTATCTTCAGGGTATCCGCCTGTCTTTTATTTCCGTGATATGAAGCAAGCTTTCGACCGAATTCCGCATGCTGAGCCATTGGCTGAATTTAAGTTGTTGCGTTTCGCTCATCAATTGCTCTCATGGTTTTCATCATATTTGACAGGGGGCACAAAAATGACACTATTGGGTAGCGAGAATAAACAAAGTACAGGTCGAATACGAAAAAAACCCGTTGATTGATCAGAAGTCTGTGTAAGCGAACATATTTTTTTCGGTAATTCTTCATCAGCCTTCTACAATTACGTGAAATGCGAAACTTTTGTATACAGACCAAATGGGTCGTCAGTCAGCCAAATTGATCCTAGTGCGCTCTGACAAACCGTCGGTTAGGTTCCAGTTATAGTCGTACGCGCGTACAGGTCAACTGTAGTCCATCCTGGCCAAGGTAGGCTCAACGCGTGAGTGAATCTTTTCTGCGTGCACAGTGCTGGTTGGTACAGCCGAATGGCGATGGCTTCTGCGGCGTCTAATATTCGCTTTCTGAAATACTTTGATCGATTTTCTGGAGCCTGATAGATCACTTTGAACGAAGCAACCGACTTGCGTGGTCTGACCCCTGTCCGCAAAATGCTTGGCGATGCAGAGTTGGTGACCTTTTGACCTCCATTTCCAAGCCAGGCCGGATGGTGTTCCCTCACCCTTTCGAATGAGCGTCTTGTAGTACGACCAATGTAGCCTGCTCCATAGGAACAGACAAAGGATTAAACACACATTGATTTGGTGTGAACAGGCAGCTTATCCTTGAGGTTTCGTCTCACCATTGGGCTGCTGGTGAACCGAATTTGCAGCCTGGTCGCTGGGAAGGTATTCCTGAGTGTGGACGAGAGACGGCGGGATAGGTTCTCAGATACTATTTTCTCTTTGTAAGGCATTGTAGGAAAATAGGTTTCCGTTTCGGCCGTCA